TTATCTCGCCTATAGCGTAACATTTTTTAAAAGCATAGATAGATTCTCAAAAATAAAAGAAGACTTTTCTTTTTTCTTACCTCGTATGGTAGCAACATCTCCAAATAGATCCTTCATTGTATAGAGTTGTTCCTTTGATAAAAGAGATGGTAGGGTATGAGTGAAGCCAATTCCAAACCTACCGGTAGAGACTTCTCCAGCTTCTTTTCCCAAATGTCTTATGGCTCAAAAAGTTTTTTCAACCGAGGTAGGAACTTCAACATCTAATATTATTACCAAAACAACCATACAACAAGCAACGGACCGGGAGGTAGGTTGTGTTTTTGCTCTCATGTTGGTATGTTTTTTGGGCTTAGAGTGGCAAACTCAATTTTTTACCTTTTAAATAGATGAGCTCTAGTTCTATTTAGTCCCATTCTCTTCCTTTCTTGATCGATACCCTTCAAGATAGATAAACAAGGCATTAAAAAGAAGCTAGTTAAAAAGACTCATTCAAGATGGTACGAGAGATGTTTTCTAAATAAAACTCTAGTCCCTTTTTCCTAGGTAATTCACTATATGACCCAAAACTAGTTTCACCTATCAAGATATCACATTCCCTATAAAGCCCTTTAGAATCCACTTTAAATTTCCCTAGATCAGCTTTCTCTCTAGACGCCCTACCAATTACAAAAAAAGAAAGAAAGTTAGTTTGTTTATAACAAAAAATTTAGCTAGTACAAAACCAAGTTCGACCTATCTACCCTTTAAACTCTAGGTCAAGAATGACCATTTTGCTAGAAGACTCACTTGATAGCTACCACCTTTGCTCGTCACCTACTTTCAAAAGTCATGGTTAATAAGAGATTGTGATAGGGCATCATTGAAATCACCCTAAAATATTCTTTAGAAAAGGGCACTCCCACATACCTTTCAAAATTTTTTTATAGAAACACACCTTCTATATCTTACCATAAACGACTCTTCCCTTTAATCTCCTATAAAGTTGAGTTTGCCTATAAACTCTCCTCTTAACGAGCTCAACTCCCGAGCAAAGTCTTGCTATCCTCCTATTTCCTCCAAAGCTCTCGACTAGAAAGTAACAATACTTAAAAAGTCTAAAAGTAAGGATAAACTTCATCACCTATAAAAATTTTCAAATGCACTTATGGCGAGTCTACTTATTTAGATAAAGCTTCTCATGCATAAACCATAATATCACAACACCTCCACTACAAATTTAGATAAAGGAAAAATATAGGTGTAAGTAAATACACGTACAAGAATGATTATTTCTAAATTCTCCTCTTAGCTCTAACCAACTATTCGCTAATCTTATCATCTCGATTGGGAATAATAACAAATGATTCTTACCTCAAAAGATTATTAAGAGAAATTAGCCTTTTTAAAGACAACCTACTAAGATTTTTTCTAACAAGAGGAGACATAGGCTTTTACTCAACCTCGCAAGAAACTACCATCTCCACACGAGCGCTAGTCTTTTCCCTTTTAGAGATCCTACTTTAGACAACCATAGACTCACTCCTTTGTTAAAATCTATCATTCTCATAAAAAAAAAGAATGAATAATGAAATATTACACATTGAAAACACTATTGACCATAAAAAAGTCAAATCACCATAGAAAAATTATTTCTCTTTGGCAAAATTACCGATCTAGTGGTAGTTTTCACCCCAAAATAGTCAAAAGAACTCCTACAAGAGTATTTTATATAAATAGCCTAGAATCTCCAAACAATGCTCACACGTTTATCAAAAATCACCTTTCGTTGAAGAGCCAAAAAGAGAAAAAGAGTAAGAATATGCAAAAATAAAGAAAGAGAAGAACTTACTAGCTATATATAGGCTTAAAAACGCTCGTTCTCACATCAAACTATCCAAAAACTCATGTTTATTTAGCAAACCCAATCCAACTTGGTTCAATTACAATCAACAATAAGATTCATGCAGTAGATGATATGGACTTAGTGTTTTAGGCTTTGGAGATTTCAAAAGAGCTAATCCATTTATCTTTTCCAACTTGTCTATGCGTGAATACTTGCTTTTTCCTAAAAAACAAAGTTATTGAAATAACGGATAAGAAATGGCATATGTCAACAACATATAAATCTTATTAAAAATAAGAGAAGTTAAAAAATTTCATGTTCATCTTGAGCACCACAAGCATTTCACCAAAAAAAAAAAAAAATCCAAATGCTAAGAAAGTTTTTGCAAAAACATGCTTGCCATGACTCGAAAGGACTATCGATGTACTCGGATAACATGTGTCATCATATTACTTAAGAACTTCAGCCCGGACAATGCCTTGGTCACATCGAATGGGCACAACTGATTGTCTTCGATCACTTTATAATGCGTCCTTGCCGGATGCCCAAAGCCAATTCTCATCAACTATAGAGACAAAGGGTACTTTTATTAAATGAAGGCATGCTTTAAAGGCTACTTTTGTCCAATTAATACCAACTATAATGACAATTTAGCCGTTTAATAACCATCTATCAACTTTAATAACATTTGCCTCCTAAATTGGTGTCGAAGTCGTTGGCAATAAGAAAATAGATTATATTAATTTCTCTCCATAAAATTTGACCAAGCCCTTAGCTATATAAACAACAAATAGATTAAAAGTTAAGGGTTTGGTTTTGCTCTCTCAATCCTACAACTATTATTTATCATCTCTTATACACCTATACAACTACCCAACTACTTTCTTAGGCTATCTCTCTTCGTACTTTAATTTTGTTATCATATGTTCTTTCAAGCCATTAAGAAGACTTGTTTTGTATGTCTAATGAGCAATTAGATTATTATCCACCTTCAATTACCACCGTTGTTTCAACTAAAAAGAAACCCATCTTATTATCTAATATTATTTCAAGATTCAACACTTGATCAAATGTACAAAAGCAAAATAAAAAACATGTATACCAAATGATGTGATACTTATATATTGTATGGATCACCTTCCTAACTATATATTTTAAACAAATAATCATTTTATGTTATATTCCTAAAATTTCGATTCTCCTAAAATTAACGTTCTTATAAGATTAATGCTTAAATAAGCTTGCTTGAATTAGGCACCTTAAATGTTCCGTTTTGACTTTTGTTTTTTTTTTTTTTTAAGGGGAAATGGTTATTCAATAAAATTCTCAATTAATGGTTTTGGGATTGATGAATGGTACTTTATTGCTAATCCTTAATTCGTTCTTTCTTTAGTCAAATTTCACAATATGGCATTCCTTAAGCAAAGCAAAAGTATCCCATTTGAATTTGTGACCGACATCTTCTTAAAACTTGCTGAAAAAACTAGAACTTGATTGCGAAATTATGTATATAAAACGTGGAAGAGCTCGATAATCACTATCAATATCGACATGCAAGGTTTCATAATGTTACATGGTCAAAATCAGCATTGTGGAGTCGGGTGGTGGGTGGCGTATCAAACCCTTTAATTCTCAAAGAATTTGTTGGTCCTATAATGCAAGTTGTGATGTGAGCATATAATGACGGAATTTGAATTTCTCTTCTTATATGGCCCCACTGAATATGTTTTTTTTATTATTATTATACGTTTGGTGTAGACTACGGAAAAAATTGGGATAAGGTCGAAAGTTTTGTGAAATGGAAAAATCAATATCTATCTCATTCACGGGGCGGATTGTTTAAACAAGGTTTGGTGTGGTAGATATCCATGATCATGAGGCTCCACCACATGGGCCATTTTTGGGCCTTTCTTTTTTATAATTGGCATCGTTTCTAGTTTCGACCTTATCCACCTTTGTTTCCCATGTCTTCTCTTCCCGTCTCTTTCCATTTGGATCGTTCTTCTTTCGTCAAAACTTGGTGTAAGTTTTAATTAAAACTTTTCACATATGCAATCACTTGTAAGAGTCATCACTCCTTCCCGAATTCACTTGCCATAAATAGAAAGTTAAGTGATTAAGTTTGATTAATCAAATCATCATCCTTTTTTATTAGAGTGATAAGAATGGATTGATTTTATATTGGATTCGTGTCATCTTTCCATAAACAGAAAGTTAGTCCCTTTTCGTTTAGGAACCTACGTTTGTTTTTTCATACCAACTCGTCTATACTAACTTATCTTAGATATAATTTCAAACTGAGGGCGAGTTTGTACGCATCCTGTAATCATATACAAGTTAAATTGATAATTGCATGATAATGTTCATGTGTGATGTTTAAATTGATACCAAACATGAGAATGTTATGTTTTATATCTAATTCATTATTTAATATATTTATGAGATTTACAATTCATAAATTTTCACTTATTATATCAAAATTATAACATTTTAGTATGATTTATTTGTTTTTTGAATTAACCTAAAGTCTAAACTCAAAGCCCATATCTAAAATTGGGTCACAATATAAAGCCCATAAAAATAGAAATAGAAAACAAACTGAGTAAATTATAAATTAGTCCTTCTTGTATAGAAAAACGAATTAATTAATCTTTTTTCTTTTAATAATTAATTATTTAGTGTTTTATGTTTTAATTTGATCAACAACTTAACTATTTTCACCAATTTTCTATTAAATTAGTGATTTTTATTTTCAAATTATCATATTTTTATATTTATTTGAGAAGAGAAAAAATAAAGCAACAAAAAAAGTATAATTTGAGAATAAAACCACTACTGTAATAAAAAATTAATGAAAAAACTAAAGTATTTACGGAATTAAAACAAAAAATCTAAATAATTAGTTTAGAAATATTAATTAATTAATTTCTCAAAATGTGAGGGACTAATTTATAATTTACTCAAACAAACAATCAGAGCATCCAGTTTGTTAAAAAAAAAAAACAAAACAGAAGTTGGAAAAGGTTACGCTTGCAAAGAAGGAAACGAATTTAAAGCGAAATGACAGAGAAGGACAGAATTGCAGCGATATAGCAAAACCAGATTAGATTACAGTAATAACAGAGAGACTCGCATTTTAGGTCTAAAGAGAAAGCGATTAGCAGCACAAGCAGCAATGGAGGCGGAATTGAAAGAGATGCTTAACGATCTTGATTCTCTCAAGCAATCACTGCCTGATCCTTCAAATCACGCTTCAATTCATAAGGTAATGCAATTGCATCTGCTTTTTGTCGAATTCCTTAGCTGCTTCTTTTTCTCTACTATTTGGATCAATAACGAATCTTTTATTAATACAGGTTGATGCTTTAAAACCTACTATTGATATTTTAGTTCTGAAAATCATCCAATTTTAAATCACGATCAATGAATTTTTTTATTTTTAATGTAGCTGCAATCGCGTGTTGAGCATCTCACGAAGCTTGCAAAGTCTGCTCCTGTTCGGCGTACGAAAGTCCAGGTTTTTTTTTCTTCTTATTTTTTTATGGGTTTTGAATTGGTTAGTATATAGGTTGTGTTTTGTGATTGTGAATTTGTTGTTGTTGTTGTGTTGACAGGATATGAGTGCAGAGGTGGTGGATAGTAATCCTTATAGTAGGCTAATGGCGCTTCAGAGGATGGGTATTGTGGAGAATTATGAGAGAATTCGGGACTTCTCGGTTGCCATTGTTGTCTGTATTTATCTCCTCTTCCTGTTTCTTTGTTCCTTTTGCCATTTTAGGATTGAATTAGATGAATATTTATTCTCAAATATTAAGTGAAATTGAATAATATTGAACTCACTATGATTTGCCACCACATTGGTAGCATTAATTCTACGATTCCTTTACTCCTTAGTAGCAAAGATGTTTAATTCTAAGTCTAATCTTGATGTTATGTACTGTCATTTTGATTGGTTCTTTTTATATGATCATAGGGAATCGGTGGCGTAGGCAGTGTTGCAGCTGAGATGTTAACAAGGTGTGGCATTGGTCGTCTTTTGTTGTATGATTATGATAAAGTAGAGTTAGCTAACATGAATAGGCTTTTCTTCCGTCCAGAACAGGTTTTTCACTTTCACTCTCTTCTTTCATATTATGAATTTTCTGATACAGCATGATCTTGAACAGAATTACTGAAACTTTTTTTTTTTTTTTTTTAAAATCATACGATGAAGTTTTTTTCTTCACTCTCGTTAATGTGTTGGGTAATATATTCATCTTGAAATTACATGAAAACGAACAGTTGTGCTCGTTAATTAAAAACTTTTGCATTCATAGGTTGGCATGACAAAGACCGATGCTGCCAGTCAAACCCTTTCAGACATAAATCCTGATGTCGTCCTCGAGGTGAGTGTCTTCAAAAAAAATTATTTTGTGGCATTGTTTGGATATGAAAAACTCTGCCCACCCGCCTCCCCCACCCCTCCCACTTTGTGTGCAGGTGGGCGGTGTCCTTGGTCACAGATCCAGGGAATTGGTACATGGAAAAGGACAAATATAGGGCAAAAATTTATTATCTAGCTATATAATCTGATAGTGTGTTGCTTCATTTCTTCTGATAATTTGCATTTTGGCCACTCAATCGCTCTATATTAATTAATTTTGTATCTGACTTATCTGAACTGATAAGGAAGAAAGAGTACTTGATTACATTCTTATTATCACTGTATGTTGATTGGTTCTTTTTTGTTCAGAGCTTCACCTTGAACATCACGACAGTGCAAGGATTTGAAACCTTTATGTCAAGTTTAAGAAATAAGTCATTTTGCCCAAATAAAGAAGGCAGTGGAGTAGATCTTGTTTTGAGCTGTGTGGATAATTATGAAGCGAGGATGGCTGTTAACCAGGTAAAAGAGTCCGTTATAATGTGTAGTCATTTCCCATTTTATGGTTTTGATTTGGCATGTACAAGGCCTGATAACCTACTGTGTAATGTTTTTGTTCTGATTTTTGTTATTTTCAGTTTACTTTTTCGTTGACTTGTCTCAAGTTTATTTTAAAAAGTCAAAGTTAATATTTTTATTTTTACTGTTTTATGGATTTAAAATTATTTTAAATATTATGGATTTCATAAATAGCTTTCTCATGTATATGCAGGCTTGCAATGAGTTGAATCAAACATGGATGGAGTCTGGTAAGCAACATCATTCTTAAATACTGATTTATTTGATAATCAGAAGAGTTCTGTGCACTGACTGTACTCTCAAATTGCTTTTTCATAAACAAATATGTACTATGCTTCCATAATTTTTTTTTTGGACCCAGGCCAGAGTAAGCTTAGGTTTCTCCGGTGCCTGTTTCAATTGATTTGATGGTAACATGTTGAATATGATATTGTTTATATCAGTATTTATGTGAAGAAATGAGTCGGTTGTGCATGATAGCTGTATTTGCATAACCTATTCATGCCTGCATAATGCCTTTGGATCGTTGCAAGCTTTCCATAGAGTTTGAAGTTTTTCTAGTACCATTTGTTCTGAACTGTTGAGCCTCAGTTGTCAATAACAAATATTTATGACACTTTTGGATTCCTATATAACAGGAATGCCTATGTTCAAATTCCATGCATAGAATATAAATGGAGTTGAAACTTGAAACCACAAGTCTGAACTCTTATTAATTCTTCTTCTTATAGATTTTTCTTTGTTAGAGTTTGTCTGTTTTTTTATACCTCGTGCTATTAGGCATACCTTCTTGGCACCCGTTAATGAGAGTAAATGAAGAGTTTTCTTGGCAGGAGTATCTGAGGATGCTGTCTCAGGTCACATACAGCTGTTGATTCCTGGAGAAACTGCTTGTTTTGCATGTGCACCTCCTCTGGTATGTTCATTTATTCATCATGATATGGTGATTAATGGAGTTTCAATGTAGGATTAGTGACCTTAACGTGAGATTCTGAATTGATATTAGAAGTTGTTAGGCTTCATAATGTTTAAAAATAAAATCATTTTGGGATCAAGATTTTGTTGCTTGATAATAGACTATCAAGAAAGGATTTCGCCTTTATTAGGTTGTGGCATCTGGAGTAGATGAGCGTACTCTCAAGCGTGAAGGGGTCTGTGCAGCATCTTTACCTACCACCATGGTAATTCCTTCACAAATAACTGATCTCATTTGTAGAAGTAATTCAGTTACAGTTATCTCCAGCTGGAATGTGATTTTAATTGTGAGAATTATTATGTAAACTTTTAGATAGGCATAATGGCTCCTGGTGGTGCCTTTCCATAGAGGCTTTTTTTCCCTTATTAACAGATAGGCATAATGTGGTACATGACAGCTGATGTTATTTTTCTGCATTGGATATTAATAGCTTGTAGTTTTGAATTTTTATTTTATGTTTTAAGATCCAGTGATATGAACATTTCAGGGAGTTGTTGCAGGGCTTTTAGTGCAAAATACTCTGAAGTTCCTGCTACAGTTTGGGCACGTGTCTCCTTACCTGGTAAATGTTAACAACCTCTTCCCCTTTCTTTCTCTCTTTTTTATGATTGTCCATGGCTTTGGGCAGAATTTAACAAGGTTATAGAACTTTTTGTTTCTCTTCTAACCTATATTTGTTGTCAAATTAGCAAGTACATGTTGATTATCCTGACTGGTTTTGACAGATTCTGGCTTTATTGCATGGTTGCAGGGTTACAATTCTCTTAAAGATTTTTTCCCAACCATGGAAATGAGGCCTAACCCTCAATGTTCAAATGCAGCTTGTCTGGAGCGTCAGGTCTCAGTCAGATCTGCCCTAATTTGCTACCAGATATCTTTCTTGAAAAATCTATGAATTTGGCATATTTGGTTTTCTTGGTGATAGTAAGAATCGTATTTTACTGTGCAGAAAGAATGCCTCCTCGCAAAGCCAGCTAAGGATGCTGCAATTAGAGCCAAGATGGAGGCAGAAGCATTATTAGTTCCGGAAGGCCCACTTCATGATGATAATGAATGGAACATCAGGTTGTTCTTAGGATTATATAATTGTGTATATAATACTATACATAGGTACATGGCGTGTAAATTAAACATATTCTGTATATAAATAACGTTAAAATAAGATAATATACAAGTAGTTTGGTTGACCAATTGCTTTAAGATAGATGTTAGGCATGTTTTGACTAGAGCTCTCTTCCTTCACTACTAGTTTATTATGTAATTTTCTTTCTCTGGGGAGCTTCGGCAACATTTTCACTGTTTTTTATATTTTTCCTTTTTCCTGGTGTTTCTTCAGTGTCGTCGATGATGAAGAGCTGGAAAGGACAGATGCCACAAGTTCAGGTGATCTGTACTTCTTATCCTCTGAATTTAGTGTCATTTTTTATGCAATAATCTATTCACATGAAAAAACAAGAATAGATGACAAGAAAATTATAAGCTGCTAGATTGGTGGAACGTACTGATAACTTCCACATTAGTCATATGATTGAACGACTCACAATTTTCCTTGCAGTCTATTCTTCTTATCATTTCTTGTGAAATAGCATTACTTAATCAACATTTGGACCAAGTTTCCTTGCAAAGGTTTCAATAAACTACACTTATTTGATCTAGCCTTGAGGTCCACGGCTATGAACCCTGAAAGGCTGCCATCTCCTGGCAATTGCTGACTGTAGGGGCACCCCATATGCATCCCATCTACAAATAAAGAATAAGACAACCAGCTAAATATACACACATAGCATTTGATTGTTGTAGAGAGGCCCAAAATTCCAGTCTTTGGTCTTTAGAACCATTCCATGATCAAATATCTGAATCTCAAATTTCCTGAATTGCATTGTTGTCCAAACGGTGCACTACTATTCAATGTGTTGAATTTTTTCCCTTTTTTGTCCATTGTAGATGCTCTTCCTGAAGGTCTTACTCGTGAGCTCCCACCTGCGGATGAGTTTCAAAAATTCTCAGCTGCTGAGCCAACTACAACTACTTTTGATGACATTGAAGAACTTCGGAAGCAACTTGATGCCCTAAATGCCTGATTAAGGTCCAACATTAGCACTTAGAGCAGATACAGCTAAATTATCTGGCGAAGGGATGCTATATATTTTGACCAATGCCCTTTCTTTGGTGAATAAGCTTTTTAGCCTTTGAGAAGGTATAATCCAACTGTGCATTGCTGTTGTTCCCTGTTTTTAAAAATTATTAGGATTTACCCACCTTGCCCTTGTTTCCAACATTGTTGTTGTATGCCAGAAGAATTAATTCGCTCAGTTTAAACTAAACCAAAATGTAGGATTTTAGCATAGACTATTTCCATGAAACGAGCATTTATTTGTTGGATTTGGTTGAAACTTGAAAGAGCATTTATGTTGAAACGACAGAGCAGAGCAGCCTGTCGCAACAAAAGTGCCAACTATTTCTGTGTTATATATATATATATATATATATACACACACACCACTTTAGGGCAGTAGAATTTTTTCAACTTAATTGTTGGGTCAATATTGCATGGCTTAAATCACCCAATCAGGTTTATTCAGTTTTGAGGGAGTTTTTGGAGCACATAGTTTATTTCGCCCAGGCTAAAAGCATGAATGCGGTTTCATACAAAAAGGAATTCCATTCAGATGCAACAGTAAAAGCTATCATCCAAGAATCCTTTATGATAGATGGTATAATCTTTGATAGTGAGGTGAGAGGTTCCATTTGTCGGTTCATGAAGATGCAACATACAGGTTATAAACTGATAATCTGGCTCGACCATACCACTGTAAATGGCAATCAGGCTTGGCAAATGAAGAGCAATAAAGTCATTATCTAGGGCTCTTTGAACTTGATCAAAATTTGGTCCATCTGGGGTTGATGTTTTCTGACCTGCCATTGAAAGTACAAATACAATTATAAAATGATTATGAAAAATCAAATGCATTGATATCTTAAAGCTACTGCAAATTAGCCATGTTGAGTTGAAGTATTTGTTATTGTGCACCAACATGAGCGTGTTACAGATAAACACAACGACGTTAGTGCACCTTAAACCAGTTTGGGGCAAGTTAAGCTTGGTGCCATTAACTGGATATCAGTACCAACTAATGCAAAATTTGATGTATCAAGCAAGGGAAGTGTTTTGGCCAAACTAAACTTCAGTGGGAGCATCAAGATAGATTTACTGAGCAAAATCAGTGCAATATTCAGCAGAACTTCCATGAAACAGCAAAACTTACTTTAATACCAGTCATGGACAGCAGCTTATGTGAAGCAATATACGCAGTATCTGAATTGTTTAAGCTCTTCTCTATAAAGTATATAACTTCGGACACGCCAGACTGCAAGAAATAAGGCAAGCTAATCCATTTGAAACCAACTGTGATAAGCAAGGACGAAATTGGAAGAGAGCACTAAGCCACTAACAATTGAATGTGGGACACATTTCAAGAACTTAATAAACAAATACTAACAGCAAGATGGCAAAGAGTTGCATTCCACCGAGAGCCAATTTTTTCAGGCAATAAAGAAAAATTATTTAGATCAACGCAGTCCAATCAGATACTAGTTCTATTTTCCATTCCCAGCATTTAGTCAAAATCATGGGGATCATATCATGTAGTAGCCTTGCCAGCCTATCATTGGATGGTTGGTTATGATTTTCAGCACTATCCATCGTAAAGTTTGTGCATAAATGCAGTAGGCTGCAATAGTTGAGCACTGCAGGTTGCAGCCTAAGGTCTATTCAGCCTTTTGAGAACGACATCAGCTAAAACATAATTAAAATGCTCTCATCCATCTACGTTCCAAGATTCAAGAATGGGTTCCAGTATATGTTGCTATGGAATGCAAGTGCACATCAATCTGTAAACAGGGCATGTTTTTAAATGGTAAAGGGCAGGTTAAACAAGGAATGCCCCTCGGTTTCAAGATTAACCGAGCTCTACTGGAAATGTGATCTACTTCTTGACAAACAGAAGAACGAAGCCCTCACATTCCCTCTATTTGCCGGATCATAATGTATACAACACACACACAAAAAAAAAAAAAAAAAAATGGAAATCTCATCATATAGCATATAGCACAAGGGAGCATGATTAACAAACCTGAATGATTATCTTGGCACATTCGTTGCAAGGGAACATAGTCACATAAAGCCTCTGCAATAATTATAGAGGGAGAGACACTTAGCTCTATTGATGACAAAATGCCTTTATTTTAAGGAAGGATCTGTAGAAAACTCAGCAAATGGTATCAACAATTATGCACGTTTCAGAATGATTATATGTCTTTAATTCTGGTCAAATAGTAAGTGGAAGAAGAGTGACTTTGTTTGTGTGATTTTGGGGGTGGGGGAAATAAAATGGATACAACAGGAAATGATACAATTGCTTACTTGCCCAGCAACAGAAGCATGATTTGTGTTCAGAATGGCATTGACTTCAGCATGACAAACATAACTACAACAGACAATTAGAGGTATTAGCTAGAAACCAAAAGCTGTCAACATTAGATAAGTCGAAAAGCAATATAGTGAAAATCTCAACGAAGGATGAGTATTGGAAAATATGATTTTATTGTGGTGGTGGAGCACACATTCTATCTCTTGAGCTAAAAATCTGCTCTGGATAGTACATCAAACTGATTAACAAGGAAAAGTGTATATTTACATACAATAAATATATGTCTCTGAGTGTATGTGTATGGCAAATATGTATCATATGAAGCAGCAAGATCAAGATTGGATGTAATGACAGCACAGACACTTACGGGTACTTTGTCTCCAGAGGATCCCCAGATTCGGATTTCTGAAACATAACAGGAGAGGTTTACTATTTGTAATTCCCAGATGATATGATGAACTTACATATCATATACCAACCTTTGCCCAAGGAAGCTTGTCATCTGAACAACCTCTTGGAAATCCATTATAGCCAATGCCTGACCAAAAACGATGTACATGAGTATCATTGTCATGAAACTCAAAAACGTTTGAACCCGGATGATGCTGTTCCATCATAATCGTAAGTATACCAAAATCAGTACATATCACTCACATTTTCCAGAATGCCACTTAAGTGGCTTTTGTTGTTACCCTTGTCATGCAAATTAAAGGATTAATTCTAAATCGTGGCCCTTATATCAACAGTTACCATTGATTCATCTTCGTAGGAGAAGAATAGAATCACTGATGTAAAAAAAGCCAGAACAGCGATAAGCAAAAACAGTTGTTCACAATCTCAAAGAATGAATTCAATGTACTTTAGATTACTAATCTAATTGCACCATTTCTTTTTTCTTTCTTTATTTTATTACAATCTAACTTTTCACATCTGCAGTTGCCATCAATCCTTACTATTCATATTCCCATTTTCAGTTCACTTTAAAAAGAAGTTAAAAAGCAAATGGAGTTCAAGATTCAAAAAAAAAAAAAAAAAAAAAAAAACACATACAAAATTAACTTACCAAGAATTATGCCATTTTGACTAACCAGACATGCCCCAACCTATAACACCAAATACATATTATCAAATGCCTACAGCAGAAACCCAACAAAGTATTTCAAAACCCGAAAAAATAAAATAAAAAATCAAGTATCTTAAATTATATAGTATTAATTAATGATGCAATCAAAGTCTATCATTTATTAAAAAAATAAATAAAAATTATGACCTGCCTGTTTGGATCTTTAGACCTTTCAGCTGATAAAAACGCAATTGCCATAAAATAATCATCCCATGATAAATACCTGAGACCAAATCATAAATTAGAGCAAAAAAAAAAAACCCTTAAAACTATAGAATTAAACAGTGAAAGATTCATTCTTTAACAAAATTCAAAATTAAAATTTGACTAACTCTTTGCGTTTGGAAGGATCAAAGGGGCTCCGGGATGAGCATTTCTTCGAAACGCCACCGTTTGGAACAGAATTGAGTTTGGAGAACTGCCTTCTGGAGTTGCCATTGCTGAAGTAGAAGTAGCGAACAGCAAAAGCAGAAGCTAAAGCTCCAAAGACTGTGGCTGTGGAGACAAGAGCGAGCTCTCGTGAATTCATTGAAGTTTGATTTAACTAAGCCAAAACAAAAAAATGAGAAGGAAAGTTTCTGTTTTTTTTTCCTTTTCTTCTGTTTGTTTCCCGAGAAAATTCGATTGGAAATCAAATTGGCTATAGGGTAAAGCTGCTAAAAAGAACAGAAAAACAAAAAATAACGGGAAGAATTAACGAGGGAAAGTGGGAGAGAATTTCCGCGCGCGTGGAAAGCGTGGAGAGTGGGGGCGAGTATGATGTTAGGGAATAAAAACACCTTTCGAACCTCATCCACTCTTGATTAAATAATTAAGAACTAGTCACGTATCGATACTGCGTTACGATTATACAATCATTATATAAGTAAGATTAACGATTCAAATAGTATAATATGGATAAAAATTTTTTTTTCATAATTAATGTAAATCAAATTTATTTGCTAAGAAAAATCGTTTGATTTATATATATTTATTAACAAAACAATCAATAATATTATGATAAAATGTTGTATTTGAATAATCGAAATGTTCTTTCAAAACATTATTTTAATTATTTTACTTAAAAAATATTGATTTTAGAACATAAAAAAAATAAATGACAAATAATTGGTGTTATGTGTGTAGATTCGTAATTAATTTCTACCAAAACTAATGATATATATATATTTCAATCATTTTGTTTAAAAAATATTGATTTTAGAACATAAAAATAAAAAATAATTAGTGTTATCTATGCAGATACATAATTAATTTTTAACAAAACCGATGATATATATATCATACTTAGTAGATTCGAGTATATAATATAAATATATTTTTTTAAAGAAAAAAAACCATTTGAGTTATATTGAATATATTAAATTCAATAAATTAAAATAAAAATTACTACAAAATTGGTTCTTATAAATTTTACTTCTTAATTTATGATGGAAGAGATTCTTGAATTGCAAATTAAATTATAAATTAATTCATTTCATTTTGAAAAATGAATGAATTAATTTTTTTGGTTTTAAAAAAAATTATTTAATTTTTTAATCAATGTTGACCAAGAATAATTTATTTTTTATTTTAAAAAAATATCTTTTTTCATATTTGTACTTTTTTTTATTCTTTCTCTATTTCTTAAAACAAAAAATAAAATTATTAAAACAAGCAAAAGTGACAAAAAAGTTAGTTTTTGAACCTAATGGTGTTATGTATGTAGATACATAATTAATTTTTAACAAAACTAATGAAATATATATATATTATGATCATAGTATAAATAAACATTTTAAAAAAATCCATTTAAGTTGTATGGAATATATTAAAGTCAATAAATTAAAATAAAAACTACTACAAAATTGGTTCTCATAAATTTTACTTCTTAATCTATGATGAAAGTGATTCTTGAATTACAAATTAAATTATAAATTGGTTCATCTTGTTTTGAGAAATGAATCAATTAATTCTTTTGGTTTCAAAAATAAATTTTTTTTAATTTTTTAATCGGTGTTGATCATGAATAATTTATTTTTTTATTTTATAAAATTTTTTTATATAGTTTTTCTTATTTTTTATTCTTTCGCTATTTCTTAAAACAAAAAATAAAAACATTGAAATAATAAAAAGGAAAAAAAATTAGTTTTTGAACCAAAGAGACTAGTTAATTTGTTTCTTGAAGAAAGAGAGACTAATTTATAATCACTCTTGAATAGTAATGGCTTCCTTGTCGAAAATAAGAAAAAAAAAACATTGAAAGAAAATAGGAGCATTAAATGCTCAATCTAAAAAAGAAGAAGGAAATGATGAAAAAAGGTCCAAAAAGAAAATTAAAAAGAGAATCGAGTCAAGGGTAAGAATGGAGTTTCTCAAATTCATTGAGTGGCAAAAGTGCAATTATGACCCCCCTCCCCGACCCGCTTGTCAACTACCCAAAAAGAAAATTAAAAAGAGAATCGATCAAGGGTAAGAATGGAGTTTCTCAAATCCATTGAGTGGCAAAAGTGCAATTGTGACCCCCTCCCCGACCCGCTTGTCAACTACCCAAAAGGAGTGATTAGGCGAGGAGCACGTCATGCCGACACGTCTAATTCGACTTAAATCCTACTACGTCCACACCGGTACGAGTAACAACATACTACATATTGAAACATGTATAATACAAATTACATTACAAGAATATTAACAACGAAAGAAAGTATAAAATTTATTTACGAGTCTTCGTTTAAATATCTACCGACACCCCAACCCAAAACGACAAGCAAAATAAACTTCGTTACACTTGTGTCACGCAAGAGCCTTTTTAGAGGAACCGACAACATTCTTACTAGTACTACCATCGCTTTTACCTGTCATGGCATGCAACAACAAACAGGATGAGTCGAAGCTCGGTAAGTAGGATGATGCACGTGTTATGCAATGTTTTTCCGACTTCCCCACTTGTTCTCATCAATTTGAAATGTTAAGGGTATCCCGGGTATTAGTAAGTCCGCTTTGTTCTCGATGATTGTCGAATAACCTCGGCAATCATTTATTGTCGAATAACCTCGGCATTCATTTATTGTCGAATAATCTCGGCAATCATTTATTGTCGAATAACCTTAGCAATCATTTACTCGGTTCAACCTATCTCCGAATACATATGATGCACGTGATGTTACTTTTATTGTATTAAACATACAATGGGTACTAACCCTTATACTATTACTTCATTCTCGATATCCAACTCATGTAGGATTCGATTTCATATATTTTCATAGGTCTAACCCATACGGGATTTCGGACATACTCATATCGCTTATCATCATATTCCCCTCGTTAGAATGAAATACCAACAAGTGGTATTGGTTGAGTCATGGGTCTAATTATGTATGTGGATACTTTCCTTTTTTGTTTCATATCGTAATTTTAATTATTAAATTGTTCCACTCTTGAATTGTATAATTATTAGCATTTGAACCTATTTTCTCCTCATATTAAGGTATATTTTTGTACTTTTATTTTATATCTATTTGAGCCTTATTGACCATTAATTACGTTATTTTGGTGAAAGGAATGGAAACCAAGCAAGTATGAAGTAAAAGTGATGCATTTCGAGTGAACGGCGAATTACACGAGCAAAGACATGCCCTTGTTGGAAGCCGTGTAATTGTCGGACTAAAAAAAACACCTTTCTTCATTATATGAGCAAGGACATGCCCATGTGGGAGGTCGTGTAACTCTCGACTTCAAGAAAAATACATTTCTTCATTACACGGGAAAAGACACGCTCATGTGGGAGGCCGTGTAACTCTCCGATTTCAAGAAAAATACATTTCTTCATTACATGGGAAAAGATACGCCCGTGTGGGAGGTCGTGTAACTTTCGACTTCAAGAAAAATACATTTCTTCATTACACAGGAAATGACACGTCCGTGTAACACTGCGGCTGAAAGTTTTCTCAAGAAAAACCCTAAAATTTCATTTTTCTTTCTCCCTATTTTCCCTTGTCTAAGTCCATATCAATCCCAAATTCACTCACCATGGTTTGGTCAACCAAATCCATTAGCCACACCTATCCATACATGGATCTAACTAGATACCAAACTTCCAAAACTTAACAATTAATCACACAACTAACCATTACAATCAGATAATAACAATTACCAATCATAAAATAACCTAACCAACAAAATCAAGCCAACAAACATATCACAACATAAGCGCAAACTTAACCAATTACAATAACATCAATTGCATGGCATAAATCACTTAAAAAAACCCACTTACTTAGCTTAGGAATGGTTAGAATTTCCTTGGATTTGCTTTGCTTTTCTCCTTTCCCTTTCTTTTTTCTTTCTTTTCTCTTCCTCTCTTTCCTTGTCGTTTTTCTCTCCTGTTTGTGTAGCTATGGGCTGCCTAAAATTTTTATTCCATTCTCACTTATTATATATATATACATGTTTAAAATCTCAGCATTAATTGAGTGTGCAAATTTCTTAATTTTATTTGGGAGAGTGGAAAGCTATAGGTGAGTCATGGGAGAGAGGGTGGCGGGTTTGAGAGGTTTAGGGTGAGTCGGCTTTAATTCATTAATTAGGGGGTTTAGATATCCTAATTAATTGGTTAGAGTAACTAAACACCCTAACCAATCTAGTTCAAGTAACTAAACATATTTCTTTCCATTAAATTTCAGAAATCCCTCTCCCTAAACTCGGAATTTTCTTCCCTAAAAAATATTCCAGCAGTGATGCTTCAAGACTAGCCTATACTAAAATGGCCATAAATTTTTATGTATAGTTCTAAAAATTATGAAATTTTACAGAGAGCTAGTAGACACATAGACGAACAACTCTCATTCTTTAGGTTTTACTCAAAAATCAATCTAAATTCCTCAAATAAATCACAAAAAAATTCAAATAGAATATAGTCCTCCGAACACTAATTTTGCATATTTGGTTTTATTAATAATAAACCATTAATGTCAAGCACAATAACTTTAATTTAACGAAATCACATATTTCAAGCGTTAATTTCTCATGGTGTAATGAGAATTATACTTACACTTAATATATATATATATATATATTCTAATACGTGTCGCTTTATGGTTAAGGATTTTCACGGGGGTTACGAAATTATCAAAAAGGTAAGGGCGAAAAATCAAGCAACACAATGAATATCGAATCTAAGTCTGAAAAAATAGTAAATGAATAGAAAATATCTCAGTTTTTTTAGTTTTTTCTACTAATATTTATTAAATTAAAATTAAAGATAAACATTTTATTTTATTTCATAATTTTTAATCAAATTTTGTATTTCATTCATGCTTCTTTATGTTTTTCATAGATTTTGTTGTTAAAAAAATAAGATTCATTTTTTTTATTCATTTGTTCTTAAATAAAAACTTACAGTAATATAAATATAAAATTTTTTAAAATATCTTAATATTTTTTTTTATAAGACTACATTGGAGAAATATATTAAAATTCAATATAAAAATTTGTATGAAAATTAACTAATGAATCTTTTTAAACTTTTTTAAAATATGTTCATTTGATACAAAA